ATTTCATATTTTGTTTTAATTATTAATATTATTACTTGAATTTTTTTATTTCATATTTTCCACACACCCCCTGTAGTTCTAACATTCAATGTAGGTATTTTCATAACTTTATGCTTAAAACTTTACAACTTTCACTAATTGACTAAAATCTCTGCTTGCACTATCAGTTAGCGATTTACAATAGGTTTTACGTTTACAGTTAAAAATTTACACTACAGATACGCTAATGATATGGGCGGGTCAGTCACTCACAGCTAACTGACCCATAAATAGTCTTAAATACATACTCGTTAGATATACATATATGCATATAGTCGCACATACATACATACATATGTGTAAACATACATACATACGAACATATGTGCGTGTGCGTAGCATTGACATTTAAGGACGCGTGGTTTTGACTGCGACTGCGGCAACATCTAAGTGTGTCTCTGCGGCGGCGATTGTGTAGCGTGCGTGTTAATAAAGTACAAGGTGCTTCAAATTGTATACAGAGTGATGCTGTGTACGTGCATGAAAGGTGCCGTTAGTGGCGCTAGCGCCTACGCTTTCTCTTAGACGTGCGTAGCCAGTGCGCCTTGTTTGGCACTGCCGTTCGACGGTAGAATGAATTGACCGGATGGGCTTTGCGCCACCGCCACAGACACCGGCGCCGTTGTTGTGACCGGTGTGGCTGTAGTGAGGGGTGCGCCTTGTGTGAGCGGTGTCATGGCCGCAAGCGTATTACTGCTGGCGGTCAAATTCGAACTGCTACCGCTAATGCTGCCAGCGCCGCCATTGCTGTTGGCGCCCGTCATGCCGATGCCAGCCGTGAGCGCGCTGTAATTTTTCAACGCATTCACACCTATGCCACCGTTCATGTTCACATGCTGTTGGCTGGGGTGGTGATGATGACGTTGGTAGGGTGGTGGCGCTGGTGTGGCGGCGGGGTTGGCCGTGCTTGGTGGTGGCAACGGCGGTAGTAGTGAAGAGTTCGAGCGCAGATAGGGGTTGCCGTAGATGGCGCTGAAACGGCTATCTATGCCGTTTTGCAGTAGCGACTGACCGGCTGGAAGTTGAATATATATTGTTAGCAAACTGAAGGCAACTGCATTGCTCTAACTAAACTTACCGAGGAATCCGTTACCCATTTGAGCGGTGCTCTGTTGTGGCTGTTGCTGCATATCATTGCGATTGCGTGGCAAACTCAGATTGCCGGTCGTTGTGACGGGGTTTGTGTAGTGCGGCAAGGTAGCCGAGTTGATTGTGCTGGTTTGGGATTTGTTGACGTTATTAGCGACACCAGCGCCGGGCTTGCCACCCTCCGTAGGTGCGCTATAGTCGAGCGCATATTCAAAGTAGGGCGCATAACCGTTGACAGTCTCTTTGTAGTCTTGATTCTTCAAATTCTTAATATGACATTGACGGCTATAACTGAAGTCGCCGGAAAATCTGTGTATAATTAAAGGAAATGGTTATTCAAGTATACGAAAAATATCTTTAAATCACGCTGCGTCTCACCTGTCGTCTAACTTCACTGGGCCAGCCAGTGGCACTCCCAATGTGGCGCCCTTCATTTGGACATCTGGCATTGGCGCTTGTGTGAGATTGATCGCTAAACCGTCGCTACCAGCCTCCGAGTAGTCGACATCGTAGGCTTTGGCACGCAATTCGTGCTTCAGACCGGACAATTTATCGCCACCACGTGACGCCTCTGGTATGACATCCGCCGGTATGGGCTTCTTGTTATTGCGCTTCATATAGACAATCACCAACATCACAATCATTATGACAATAGCAACAGAAGAGAGTGAACCCATAACAACCAGCAGTATAGGCACCGAACCCGCTGGAAAAATCGAAATCGCGATCGGTTATCGAAAATTGGAAAGCTAGGTTAGTAAAATACTAGTAAGTTTAGCTTACGTTCTGGTTTCAAATTGATCAACAACGAATCGCTGCCATAAGAATTCTTCACCGTACAATTGTAGCGTCCGAAATGACTAGAACGACTCTCTTTAATAATAAGCGCTGCACGCACACCCTCTGGCAAATGTTGCTCTTCGAATATATAGATATCCGGATCAGCTGTGCTCATATTAATCACTTTATCCTCGAATGACCATAAAATCTGCTCTGCCTTAGGCACACTAAATGCCACACAGTCGATCTTCGCCCGACTTCCCACCGCACCGAATTGCACCTTATGTGAGGTGATAATGGGTGCACGCTTAACGTAAATTGTGGCCTCAGCACCGATCTCTGGGAAGCCAGTTACTATGGCCTTGCAATAATAACGACCTGCGGTCTCTGTGGTCACCTTCAAGTTAAGATTTGCGGTGTTGCCGACAACCTGATTTGAAAAATATTGAAAAGGTAATTAGTTAGTTGGAAGTAGCATGTAAAGAGGGGTCTTCAGAGGAATGTTACTTACTTTGTCTGTGTTTTCGTTGATCCATTCAATTTCAGGCGTCGGGTTGCCATCGACATCACACAGCAAATTCGCGTTCGTGTCTAAATCTGCTTCAACTGAAATGGGACGATGTTTGAAGATGGGTGCATCTAAAAGGGATAAGTTATTTAGTAATTCGGTTTATAAAAAGTTGAAGAGGCTGTATGCTTATGATATTTTTTCATTTTCATGAGGTTAAGCTGACTTTCTAAGCTAATTTCTTTAAGTATTTACTAATCTTCTCAAAAGAGAGTTGATAAGTTTTATACACACACTCACTGCCTTTCTCTCTCTTTCTCTCTCCTTTACTCTCAATTTGGAAAAAAGTTCTGAAGTAACTGTAATACTTACAGCTGATATCCAAAGTTTCAGTCTCTTCACTCTTGCCCACCGCATTGACAACTTCACACTTGACCAAAGCTTCGTGATGATGTCGCGTTACATTGTGTATGATCTGCATAAAATATCATGAAAGTAAATATTTACTATTAGCTCAATATAAATTTTAATGCAAATGAAAGCTCACCATCTTCGTTGTATAATCACCGGTGACCAATTCTTCATTTATAAACCAACGATAGCTTTGCGCCGGTGGATTTGCATCCGCTTGACAAGATAATATAACCTCGGAGCCCTCCAATATGCGACCGCCAGCCAAGGCACCGCTAATAACAGATACCACCACCTTCGGTGCATATTTGACCTGAAAGAAATCGTAAATGAATATATTGCTAAAGCAAATTTTTACGAATCAATCACTTCTATAAGTATTTTGGCGGCGCGATAAGTGCGATCCGCCGTATTCTGCGCCTGGCAAGTAAATGTCGTGTTGTGGTGTTCCTTCTTGGGCACAAGTTTTAAAATCGACTTGGCCGTTATGCGACGCGAGTCCGATAAGGGCTCCTTCACGTACTCGATGCCTTTAGTGAGCACATTGCCGAGGCCGTCAATCCAAGTGATCTGAAAGCGGGAAACAATTTTTTTTGGTAAAATTGATAAAGCTTACAATTTAGGGAACGGAAGAGATAAGGAAAAAAGTTGTTGCAGAGAACGTATATTTATATATGTATATTATATATATTTATATATATATTATATATATATGCGTTCTCTGGTTGTTGTATGTCACTAATTTTGATAAGGCAGTGCCGTACTGCATTATCTTGTGTATATGAAACTGTAACGGTTCTAAAACTTGCTACAATGAAGAGAGCGCTCTCTAGTGGAATTCAGGAGTAGCGGTCAAACTGTGCGTACAGTGGCACTGCAACTACTTTTGCGCCCGCACATCAGCTGCTGTGTGCTTTTAATTAAAGTGAGTAAAAAATTCCGGCGGATGCGTGCACAAGCAATAAAATGTAAGTTTTTAGTGTTTTAAACTAATCAAAAGTGTTTAAATTGGTGTCTTAAAACCTTTAAAGGGCGAACAACATTTTGCAATAAGAAAACTGTCTGGCACTCACCTCAGCCGCTGGCTTGCCACCAGCCGACACGCACTCCAGCTCAATCTCGCGGTCTTCCGTTGTGAATATAACTTCACCTTGTGTGATTTTCGGCGCTTCCGGCGGCACCAGCACTGTCAATTCGGCGAAACGCGAACGTATGCCCGCCTCACCCGCCGGGCCGGGTCCCACTTGGCACTGATATTTGGCGTCATCATCCAGCATCACCGGATAGATATCTAGCGAAAAGTCACCCTCCTCATCGCTACCCACCATCGAGTAGCGTTCGAAGCCGCTCAAATTGCGATGCTGTCCCAGGCCAAAATCATCTTTCGTCCACTGCAATGCACCCATTTTGCCCATCACCCGACAGGGCAGCGTAACACGTGAACCCACAACAGCGGTTTGATCCTGCGGCTCCATGGCGAAGCGTTGACCTTCGGTTGGTGATTTCTCATCATTACTATGATGGCTGTTGGAACTTTTACGCGACTTCGGTTTGGCTTCTACGGAGTGCCAGTGTGCGCTGAACAACAACAATGACATTAGTAGTATGCTGAAAAAGCCGGGGCGCGTTGCTGTGCAACACCAGTGTGCGGTGTGTGGAATGTGTTTGTGGTGGCATTGATACTTATGCGGATGTGTTCGCTGGCTGGCTGCACATTTACAGTTGCTATCTTTGCTGCCATTGCTGTTGTTGTTAGCGCTCCTGCTGTCAAGAGTGCTGCGTGGATGGGACGTAAGTGCAAAATATGTGCGCTTTATTGATATGGACATTTTCGTTATTTAGTGATTCTTGTTGTTGTTGTTGTAGCAGACGACGTAGCAAATAATATCGCTTTTGTTTCGCGTTGCTATAAAACGCGATTTCGCTGATATCTCTTTTGTGTAGGCCCGTACACAAAACGTGTCAGGATGCGAGAGCCTGCAATTGGATAATAATAAAAATGGTAAACATGAGTGCCGATAAATACACATAACTGTATATGTTCATATGCATGCAGGCGTTCGACACATATGACACTTTTGTGTTGCAAATTGTGCCATCTGAACCTCGTACTTTCTTTTGCTTTAACGGCATATTCATGGTAAAGGGCAGAAGAGTAAAAATATGGACAGAGCTTGCCAGCAACGTAAATATCTCCAAGCCACCTCTGCGGAGAAGTTATGGCACTTTTATAATAATCATAACTGTGTGTGTGTGTTTCTGTGCGGTATCCGAGGAGGAGTAAACATATAATGTTGCATTGTTGCGAATGTGCATAAAACGAAATATTTATGCGATGATTGCAATTCGCTTGTGAAAATATTTGCGTGTGTGGAATAAAAAATAAATAATGCGATACTAAAGAGTGCACTATTTTAACGCCCCCGTTATAAACGATATTGTGAAATGTGCAAACGTGGATAAGAAAACAATGCAGAATGCTTGAATATTGTAAGTATTGAAGCAAGACATGTGTATTAAAAGCAAGAAAAAGTATTATATAACAAATTTTAATGATCCAGAAAAAGATAAGAATAACTTTTTTAAAGGAAAAACAATTGATAAAATAGTGAAAAATGTGTTGTGAATTTGAACGAAGTCTCTATGCTGTTTTGCATATTATTTAAATCAAAAGCCATGAGATAAAGTTAAGAAAATAAAAGTTAATATTACATGGCTAATAAAAGTTATTGTTACAAAAAAAAAAAAAAAAATTTGGAAAAAATAATAACTCAACATTTATGAGAAAAAAATCGTTTAAAATAAAAATTATTAAAATTGAAAGAGCAAATAAATTTTGAGGAGAATAATTAATAAAAAGTGAAAAAAAATTATGAGCAAATAAGTTGAAAGAAAAAAAAAAAATTAAACTGCAAAGTATGAGCATATAATTAAGAAAAAAAATGTAAAAATATCTCGTCCAAATCAAAACATAAATGTGTGGTAAGTAAATCCATGACGATAAAAAATAATATGGGAAATGAAACTTCAATTGGCAATAATACGTGCAAAACAAATAATAATAAAAATTCATAGATAAATCGGTCAAAATATGAAAAAAGTTATAATCACGTTTGCAAAATTAAAAATTAATAATAATTTGTAAATAATCAAAAAAAGTGGATGTGAAGATAGAAAATTATAAATAAAAAAATTTTATTAAATAGGAAAATAACTGGAAAATAAGGAAGAATGGAATTTATAAATAAATTTTTAAAATAAATACAATTAATTTTGTGAATACAACTAAAACATAAAATTTAATTTTATATAATTAATTTATATAAAAATACTAATAATTTGTAAATTATTAAAAAATAGATTATGAGAAATAACAAGAAAATATATATAAACATGTAAATATAAAAAAAAAAATAATAAAATAAGAAATAATAAAATTGATAAATTAGCAAAGGTTAAATAAAATAAATATGTGCGCAAAATTAAAAAAGTTAAATTATATAMTTATATAATATGAAAATGGATTTGAAAAAAGTAAATTAGAAATTAAAAAAAAACGAAAAAGATACTAATAATTAAAAAAAGTAAATTATAAGTAATAAATAAATCGACATAAAAATTAATAATAAAAAAATTAATATAGCAAATTATTTAAAAATATTATACAAGTAGAAGTGGTAGCAAATCCATGATATTTAAAATAATACAAAAATAAGTGAAATTTAATAATAATTTTAATGAATTTTAATAATAAATCTGAAGCTAAGAGTTAAACTCAACTGCGTATGTGTGAAAAAATTAAAGAAATAACAATAATGGCAATGAAAATAATGTAGATATTTATTAAAATAATTGGTGAGTAATTTTTCTTTTATTATTATTTATTTTCTCTATTTACTGTTTATTTTTATATTAGTTATTTTTACAAATTATTCATTCTTTAAATTTCAACTTAACTTCGTCTTTAAACTCGTTTTTCTCGAAACTGCGTTTTTGAAGCAGGTTGGCAAGATTTCTCGAGAACTACTTAACTGATCTTCATGAAATTTTATACATGAGATAGTACTCTTAAAGACCTGACAAGAAAGTTTTTTTATTACAACTATTTGAAAAAAAAAAACAATGTCGCAAAATTTTAGATTTTTTTGTAAAAATGTTTGCCAAAAATCAGTTTCAGTTGTCTTCGTTTGTCAAAGTTCTAAGTTAAGATTTTAACTAAAACATGTATTTTTTCACTTTCGGTGATGAATTTCAATTGTAAGAAATTATCCTGCCAATGCGTGTGAATCTGTTTTCCGAGTGGTGACCAAAAATGGCGTCGCAATGGCTGAGTTTAAAATATTTTTTTCCAAAAAGTTCGGAATTTCTTTGTTAATAGCGTATGTTTGTTACAGTAAATCATTCATGTAAAATATTTCATTTATTTATTAATTTATATGAGAAAAAAAAATGGTTGAAAAGGGCTGTTTTTACCCGAGGAAACCCGTGTAACCCCTTAATAATTCGATAGGAACCTATACACGCTCTTTTGTAGTACCATACCGTTACCTTTGAACCCGAACCAAGAATAAGAAATTTTAAGCTTGCACTTCTTAGCTTCTTTAAATTACGCAGTCATCATCACTTACGTTATTCTATATAGCTACATTATCTATAAACCCTCCTATCTGGGCAAACTAATGGGCATACAAATTCCACATATTTTCCTTTAACCCATTACCTTGGCGGAATGTGCATAAAATACGATTACATTTGCGATTAAGATTTTTATGAGCAACGCAACCTGAGTAATTTTTATACGAAATTATAAGGAAAAGCATTAAGGTTTATAGCGCGAATGGCATTGTGAAGCAACAAAGCAAGGTGGCGCGGGTGGTTGTCAGCGGACAGGCAGACTGGCGGTTTTGCTATTTAAGCGTGGACATGCGTGGGCGTGTAAGTACATGTTTACAAGCGCTGTACACACATATAACTGTATACTTATTTTTGTATATGTGTGTATGTGTGAGTAAGCGCGCCTTGCGGCCATCCGCCACGTTGAGCGCGCAGTAAACGAAAAGCTACATCAAGGATGGCAATACCAGTATCTGGCTTACCGTTTTCACATGCAAGATTGTCTGTATGTGTGGGTGACGCAGAATTTCGCGCATTACTTTAAAATATATTTGTATATATGTATGCACCCACGTAAGAGCCAAGTACTCACATATTCACACATATACATATATGTATGTACGTGGGTGTTTGTAGGTGTGTGTGTGCGTGCTTGCTTGGGTGTGTTATGTGGCAGTCGAATTAGCCAAATGCATTGAAACGCTGTTGCGGTAATGGATTCTTTTGTGGCAGCTGCAATGCCATGTTGCTGCAGTTTTCCCTTACTTACCGTTACTTTTTCGTGTTTTATTTTAATTTTGCTGTTGTTGTTTGTAATTTTCCCATGCAGCGCACTCAACGCAGTAACGATTTTTCCATAAAAAGGAATTAACTGTAAACACACACAGTGGGCGCTCACTAATTCATTTTTTACTCCGCGCTTGTGTGTGTGTGTGTGTTTGCGTGCGTGTTGCATGCATGCAAGTGTGCACGCGTGGCTGAGTATAAAATGGATTTCCGCTTTGTGCAGCGTGAACGCATACGAGTCAGAAAAATAAATAGAAAAGTACCGTGGAAGTATAGAAGTGAAACCACAACAAGGCTGCCCCGCCTACCACCTGCCGCCAGCCTGGCTTTTCACCGATTTCGCAAATATCAAGCTCATTTTTTAGGCTGACGTATTTATTTTGTGCTCGCTTTTCGTTTTTTCTTCTGCCGCTCGAGCTTTCAACATTTCGGCTAGCAGTTTTTCAGTAATTTTCCAAAGCTGATGTAATTTTAGTAAACGCTCGGCAATGACGCCGGCCGCGATGCGGCAGTGTAACGGTGCGTCATTGTGTCAGTCAGCTAGGCTGCAAATTTGTTATGCCAACCCACACAACTGTGTTGGCTTTCAGGGTCACGGCGCACATTGCACTGGCTCATTTTATTATAGACTTGCACATACAGACATACATACCTACATGTAGGCATATTTACATTTATTCGTGCTATATATGCACATCAAAGCACTTGTATATATGCATATATGTATACTTTTGCTTTTGACTTTTGGCCTGGCGCCCAGTCGTGCTGTCGCCTTGTCGTCCTGCCGCACTACGTTGCATGTTGTGCGGTGGCTGAGTTAGCGAAGTTTTGTAGGTCAAGTTTGTGCACAGACACACATACACATACACATTAATATATATGAACAGACGAGGCATTTCAATTTTCAATGCGCCCATATACATACTCGAATAGTTTTTGCTTGCAGTGCCGACAGCAGTTAATGAAAGTGCACCAACAAACGCCCAGCTAACCACAGTCATTTTATTTACTTGCCGTAGTTGCATGTGTGTATATAATACCCTTATATATTATATATGTATATGTATAGCTATATATATATCATTTGTGTGTGACCGACGCGCCATGCATCCTTTTAACTGCAGCCAGCTTAATGCCAATTTAAATTCAACTCGAATGAATGCTTTAAAAAATGTTCACCATTTGCGGCTATTCGGGGGCTAATCGGCCAATTTTGTTTGCTTCCAAGCTGCAAATTTAAAATGCATCCTTATTATTTGTATGCACATCAAATATGAATGGCGGTGGGCTGTGTGTGGGTGGGTTGGTTTCGTATGCCGAATGGCTTTGTAATCAGTTGTCCTTGGGAATTTTGAATTACTTAATGGCAGTGATTATTTGCACTTCGAGGATTTTTTGTTTGTTTTTTTTTTTTTTGCTATTTTTATTTAGTGAATGCATGATCGGTGAATTTAGAAAGTTCTCTGTGAATTTAGAGAGTGTTTGTTGAATTTTGGTTGTGGTAATTGGTAGAAAAGTCGGTAACACGGTATATGAATCGGCTATTAAGCGACTTTGCTTGAATATATTGCAAAAGC